GCTCGATCTCCTCCTCCTGCAAACGCCGACAGCGGGCTTCAGCAACGATTGGTTACATTCGCTACAAGTCGACGTGCCAATGGACTCACTGAAGCATCAATCTGCCTCATTCTTGGGGTTCTTGCCCTTGGTGGGTGGCAGATCGACGGGCGATGGCAAGTAGTCGCACACGGCGTCCAGCAAAGGCTGCACACCCTTGTTCTTGAAGGCCGTCCCGCAAAGCACGGGAACTAAGCTGAATGCCAGCGTTCCAATACGGATGCACTTCTTGAGGTCCTCCAGAGATGGCGGCTCACCAGACTCCAAGTAGGCCTCCAGAACCTCTTCATCCTGCTCCACGGCCTTCTCGATGAGGTTCTCGCGCCATTTGGCAACTTCCTCCTCCATGCCCTCGGGGATCTCATCCTTCACATCATACTTCGCACCCAGCTCCTCACCAGTCCAAATCAATGTTTTCATCGTCACCAAATCAAAGACACCCTTGAAGGAGGAGCCCTTCCCGATCGGAAGCTGGATGGGAACGGGATTCGTGCCAAGCTGGTCCACCATCATCTGCACATCCTTGTAGAAGTCTGCGCCCTCGCGGTCCATCTTGTTCACGAAGCACATGCGGGGCACCTTGTACTTGTCGGCTTGGCGCCACACGGTTTCACTCTGGGGCTCGACACCCGCAACGCCATCGAAAACAGCCACGGCACCATCTAGTACTCGGAGAGATCGTTCCACCTCCAGCGTGAAGTCCACGTGACCTGGCGTGTCCACGATGTTGATCCTGTGGCCATCCCAGAAAGCCGTTGTTGCTGCGCTGGTGATGGTGATTCCTCGCTCCTGCTCCTGCTCCATCCAATCCATGGTGGCCTGCCCTTCATGGACCTCTCCGATGTTTTTCTCGCGGCCAGTGTAGTACAGGATGCGCTCTGTCGTCGTCGTCTTTCCGGCATCGATATGGGCCATGATGCCGATGTTGCGATACTTGCTCAGAGGGATGGAACCCTCCTTGCCGCCCACCTGCTTCAACTGGTCCAAGGTGGAGGCACGAAGGGCCACCTGCTTTCGGGCCGAGGTGCGACGGCGCTGGCGGCCCACCGTACGCGCAGCCAGGGCCACAGCGATCGAGGCCACAGCGGGGCCAGCATAGCCAGCGCCAGAAGTCTTGGGGTTCGGAGAGGCGGGTGCTGTGTGGATCTGCCTGGCCACTGCCCCTTCTTGCAGGGCGGGCGCCACGAAGGCCACGGTGCTTGCCATGCTCGCAGGTCTCTACGGCACTGTGCTGGCCGAACACGTGAGGGAGCCAAATGCTAATAGAGATGGCCCCGGCCGTGCACGGCTTTGACGATGGAGGGCAAAAATCTAGCAGCACTGATGCCGCAAAGATGTGCCGCGTCTCAATCAGCAGTGACCTGCCTGCAGACTCAGAAGCTGAGGTACGCACAAGGGCTGTGGAATGCTGCACTGTAAACCCGGGTACAGAACCACATGGCTCTCCTGCGGCAAAAGTCTTCCGAGAACTGGCACTATTCTGTGGAGAACATGAGGTCAAGAGTCAAGACGCATCAACCGTGAAACAAGGAAATTGAAAAACATGAGCAAGAACTCGTGTGCATCCTTGTGAATCATGTCTGTTGCCCCCCCCCCCCCCACCTACAGAACCAAGCCGCTGGGACCAGAGACATGGCAGATTACGCCCCACGGAACTGTGAGCCCCTCGTACTCAGTATGACCATGTATGACCGCATGCGGATCCAAATGCTGCGCATCTCGTCGGCTCAAAGCTTGGCTTGCGTGACTCAACTTGCTGATGCAGGCAACAGCCAGTTATCTTGGCGGTCAGATGCATCAGATGCAGGTCCGTATCTTCTCAAGAGTGCTTGGCTCAGAAATTACGGCCGGCTGGAGACCTGTGTGATGTGGAGCCGCGCGGCAGAGGCATTTGCACGACATGACTGCTTGCTGTCGGTTGAGAGCGCAAGTCACCGTGTCGTTGATTGGCATTGGCGGCAAGCCGTGTCTTTACTGAGCAAGCATCTGTTGCGTTGTGCTGTTTTGCTCCACTGCCCCTCTGAAAGTCCAGCGATGATTTGCTAATTTGCGCAGCCGAGACCGGTGCATGCTTGACAGACCGGTGTATTTCAGTATCTCTAAACGTCCTAGTCCTAGACTTTGCACCTCATACAGGCAGCCAGTATCAACGAGTCCAGTCCAGTCTGTGCTGTGAGCGATGCCCTTATTCCCGAATTGCTCGAATTAAGCTCTCAGGGCTTCGGAGGTGCGCCTGAAGAAGGCAGTGAAGATGCAGTGAACCTTCATGAAACTGTTCCCCTGCCTCTGGAATCAGTTGACCATGGAACTGATTTTGCAGACTTGCGCTCTAAAGACAAAGATCCGAAACCACACCTCCTCACCAGCCGAACCACGTGCGCTTGCGACGCTTGGCCTGGGGAAAGGATGCGTTTGGCCGGCCGGGAACTTCAAGGTTCATTCGGACAAGACGAGTGCTCTCTTGTTGTGCCAGTCGTTCTGTTGTGGGTATCCGCAAATATGCCGCAGCCTCGTTTGCACACTGAACCTGTTCCAAATTCCAAAGCGTACTACTTGGCTTGCTGCTTTCGAGCTTGTGCTTTCCTTCTATTACGTGATTCGAGGTGACCAGGGGGTCCCAAATTAGGCGCCCCGTGTTCTCAGCACCATTCCTTCCAGGTGACTGGCGCCGCTTCTTTTTCTCGACTCAAGGGTGCTTCCAGGCTCAGGCGTGAAGGATGGCAAGAACCTTCTGCAACGCCGCGATATCCTGACAGTACGAGGAAGACAAGAGGTCCCCCCCTTTTGTTATCCCCTTCAGACAGATGCCTCCTCGCCATCTCCGCCGCCAATTCTCCACTCCTTGGCCCTTGAGACGGCAGACCGGAAAGCAAAAGTCTTCACATTTCATTATCTCATCTTATGCATTGCTTGAGGGGCAAAGCTGAAAACAACGAACGCTAGCCTGGATTGATCTCTCTCTCTCTCTCTGCCGTATGGATTAGGCACGCTCCACCACACACATACCACACACATCCGCACTCACAAGCACCACGCTCACCCCCCCCACGCGCTCAACTCACAAACCCAGGGGCCCCCCTCCCCCTCTGACATACACCCCCTGCCCCGGCGGCCCCGGTCCGCCCCATTTCCAAGAAACTGGTCCCCGCTCTGCGCGACCGGCAGGAGCTTGCCTTTATCGAGGACCACTTTGAAGCGATTTGTAGGACGTTTTTCTCTTCAAATGCAATTACCGATAGGCACCCCTTTTTCAAGGCTTTACCTTATAGATTCGGGGCCCGCCTCCCCCCCCCGTCCTCCCCCACACACCCCTCAGCAGATCGCCTGCAATCACCTGACAGATTCAGGACCCTTTCGTGATTATATATATATATATACACATATATTTGTTGCTTGATTTATGCATATATATATATATGTGTGTATATATATAATATGTCAGGTTGAAGATGCTAAATATATCTAAATATGATCATCTTTTCGGACTACAGTGACTCACTGAGCATCTCCAAAACCCATGATTAAAAGCTCCAGCCACCTGGTCACCTGCTATGATTGGTACACAGGTTGCTGTTAATGTTGTGCCTTTCCGCTTGTACAGCAGCGCCATGGAAAGCCCTGAAACCCCGAAACTCGGACACGCAGGCCTCTGCTGGGCGATCTGCTCCGCAGTTTCTGCCAGGAGAGTAAGCCACAAATCAATGCAGATTTCGAGCTAGATTAGATGCGCAAGTCCAGAGTATAGGATAAATTGGATCTGATTGGATCTATCGCAGAACGGCACGTTGAAGGTGAAGTGTCCTTATTGTCATAAGAATGCTTTTTCCCAGGGTGATGGTCTTGTGCTGCTTCACAGAGGCCATGCAGCAGCTCCTCTGACATTTTCAGTTTTACATCGACCATCCACGATTGACACCCAAACAATTCCGGGCCTCCTGTTGAGCAACGTGCGTTCGTGTTTGCCCGGGCGCTAACCAGAAGTTGGACTACCTCAGCTACCACAACACACTCTTGGGCAACACCAATACCCAGGCGTAGCCACGAAGCTTCGACATGACCATCGTAGGCCGCGAAATGTAGTGCTGTGCGGCCACCTGCATCCTGCAAGGGGGGACAACATATCGTTACAACGAAGCGCGCTGCGCATCTGGCATTTGCTCTAGACTTGCTTCAGAGGGCAGAGTACTTGATTTATCTTCGCAACTCGGCACGTCTCTGTGTAGTGCGTAGGTGGCAGGTCAGAGATGGCGCTGGCCAAACTGCCCCTCATCACTGACTCATCACGACATGAGGCGTGTGAACCGTCCTCAGAGTCGGCATTCACATCAGCGCCTCAGGTGGGAGAATGCTCCATTACTCTGGAATGCTTCAAAGCTGTTGCAGTGAACGACGAGTTGAGGCACTTCTCCCTCGGCCCAGCACGTGCTGCCAGGAGAACCTCCACGCACTCAGCCGCGCCGTGTTGGGCGGCCAAAGCCAAAGCCGTCAGGTCGTAGTCTGGGTCCTACGAGGCTTGTGGCAAGAGAACCCCCTTGCATCCAGGCCTATGCGACTGCCGGGCAACAACGCCCTGCACCCCCGCAAACCCTAAACCCCATTCCATCCCCTTAACCTCTAGATTTCCCTGAGCATGCCTTTGAAGAGCTCTGGGGAATCGGTCCTGGGAATTGATGATCTTGGCACAAGTGCCCAGAGACTGGGCCTGAGGAGATGATTTCGAGTCTCTCACAGCAGGCAAGGCTTCGGAACGATTGCCGGTTGGGAGCTAAAGTCTAGAAAGGTATGGGCAAGCGAAGACGATAAGACAAAAAATGATAGAATTCGAGAAAACATTCACTGCTAACTCAAAATAGTCGACCCAATCACTGTGCCTCCGAAAGTTGCCGCCGCAGCGCTGTGGCATCGCCACCCGCTGCAGCCGCGCGCAATGCTTTGGCAGCGTTGGCTGCATTGGGGGCCATGTGGCGGACAGCGGTAGCCGGTAGCGCTCTTTGAGAGTTATGTGGTTATTACGGTCTGCTGCATCGGCTGCACTGGAGGCTTGTGAAGGCCACATCGGCACACAAGCTGTCCACGTTGCGCGTCGCAGCCATGGCTAGCTTCGAGCCGATTCAAAGCGCAGCGTGTGAACAACTTGCGAGCATTTCTACTGTCCCACTCATACGAACCATAAAGAAACTGAGCTGGGGATGCCGCTGGAGTCGGCTCCTTGGCGGGAAGGCGATGCTTGACATACCTACCCTCGCGCCACTCAGGCAAGAAGGGACTAGTCATGCTGTGGACTTGCAGGTCTGGATGAGGAGATGGCGATGTCCAGCTGTTCAGATCCTGGTCGGAGGTCCTGCAGGAGGCGATGTCCGAGGCATGAAAGCTCAGGAAGCATGTGCGTCCACAGAAGGCTGCCGCTCGGACATCGAGAACAGCAGTTCAGAAATGGAAGCTGTGAATCTCAGCTAGAGGCAGTGGCTGCTGACAGGCCAGTGACGAAGGGCAGTATCTAAAAACTAGGTCTCGTATCGTGCTGCCTGCAGGTCTCCGTCTGAAGAAAAAACACTGGAATCAACTTCCTGACATCCGACAGAAACTTGAAAAGTGAAATCGTGCATTTCCCTTCAGCCTCCCTCCGGCAAACCAGCCCAACCACAATGAGCCTGCCTCGGCTTCCGTGCACACGCATGCATCCTCCTGTCGCAAGCTGACAAACCGCTTGAGAAGCACCACTAGTTTCACTAGCTATATGGATTTCCACTATGCCCGTACAAGCATACCCAACAAGATCTTCTTCACGTCTGCCAGAGCGAACGTGACCCGAGCGACTTTGCATATCGACACATGCACTTTGCAAGCATGTTTTAGTGCTTGCAAGAATGCATAAAGCGCCTCATCTTGCTGGAACATGCCGGTCCACGGAGCCTCAGGTTGATGCTAAATTGCAAGGCGCGGAGCATCACGGAGCTATAGCTGTTTTATGCTGTTTTGGTGCAGAAGATCTCAGAAACATGGTGAGATCACTGACAGAGTGCCGAGGTTCATTTTTGGGCTCATGTTGAAAGAGGACGTGCAATGCCCATGCAAGCCTTTGTCGCAACCTCGTGCCCTGCTTGCGTCTGAAAAATGGTTCTGGGAAGAAAGGGGCGCACCGTATTGCTACAGCTTGTTTGATCGCCTTTGCATCGCTCTTCTTCCCATTCCGATTGGCAAGTGCCGCAGCAAGAAACGCAATTTCGCAACAAATGTTCTTCACAAACACTTCGTACATTTGGTTCCAAACGCCTCCCAGAGATTGTGATATGGATTCCATCGTACAGCATTTTAGAGGCCCAACCTTCCACTTCTTGTGACCGCCCTAAGCCCTACGAGCCTTTTTGCACCATCCTGCCTCTAACCAGGTCGGAGCGGCCCTTCTTGAAGCTCAAAAGCATCTGAAAGTCCTAGAACAGCCTAGCCTTTGCAAGAGATCTTCATAAGCTTCGGAAAGTAAGACGGTAGCCAACCATGCCCCGAGTAGTCCACGGCGTGGAGCTGCAACCTGAGTTGGAACTTGTTGGACTTGGGGTCCGTATGGATCATATGGTAAGATGTGGGATGTGGCACAGAACATGCAGAACCTGAACCGCTGCAACCACGCCGTAGCCAAGCTGTAGGCTCTCTAAAGCCGGGCGGCCTTCTCTGCAGGAACGCCTTCCCGAGCTTCAACCTCCTGCTGGGACAACAAATACAGCTTCAGGGAAGTGGGACGCGGCAGAATCCTTAGAATAGGCCTCAACAGTCGCAGATGTTTTAGAACAGTGCAGAAACGTGCAGAATCGACCCTCTGCGACTCGAACTCCTTCGGTTGCTCCGCTTCTGGCTCGGTGGCCAATCTGCTGTAGACACCAGGCTCCTGCTAGAAAAGTGCCCGGCGGGGCAACGCGCTTGTCTTCTTCTCCGCTTCTTTGACTTCTTTTTCTCGGACGGGCGAGGAGTCGGCCGGAATGCGGTTTGCTAGTTCCCGTTCAGACTGCGGACCCATCACTTGGACCTTTACACTTTCTTTACAATGGCGTAGATTGCCTCTTCATTCAAGGGACCTTCCTGCCTTGCTGACGCATTGCTCTCGAAAACAAATAATGCGTCATCCGGGTTCGCGCTTCAATAGGAGTCATGAACGCAGAGATTCGAATAGTGGATGGAAAAACGGCTGTGCTCTCATGCGTTTCAATTCATGCTGCAGTTCTTTGCCTCTGTTACGGTATCTGATTCATAATAAGCAACACCACACACAGACAGAGACAGAGATAGAGACAGAGACACAGCCCAACCGCCCCGCAGCCCCCGCAGCCCCCGCAGCCCCCACAGCCCCACAGCCCCACAGCCCCACCCACACACCCACGCACACCCACACACACCCACCCACCCACCCACCCCCACCCACCCACCCACCCACACCACCCACCCACACACACACACACACACACACACAACCCACGCACACCCCCACACACACACACACACACACACACACAACACACACACAACACACACAACACACACAAACACACACACACACACACATATACAAATTGGGCTCTGCCACTCTTGTTCCACAGCCTCGGCTTGCTTCAAACTTGAAGATACCATTTTTAGAGCTTTTCCTGTCTCTGTGTCTTTATGTTTCTACGTCCAAAAGTCCATGGCAGATGGGTAGGGCCTCGCGCTGTCCCTCTCTCTTCAGCCCTCCTCAGCATCTGAGCTGAGTTGACCCATGTCGACCTGGCCTGTTGTGGAAATCGCACGGGAAGGGCAAAGTCTTCCCTGATGCCCGGTTCCTGGGGTTGACTCAGCACTCTGTCAGTCTGGACCGTGGACAGTGTGCCAGACCTCGGAAGCCAGTCTCGATGGCTCCAATGGCCGCTTCCTCGAACGCAGCACGGTCCAAGTTCAAAGCAGAACAGAGTGTCGGGGGGGGGGGGGGGGGCGGAGGCTGCATGCACTTTGTGCCCGAGTAGGAATAAGGCAAGAGTGGGTGGGGGCTGCTGCAAGCAAGCAGCATCCTGCCGTGGTCGATGTTGCGAGACACCTGCGAGGTGTCTACCCACGCCGTTTAGCAGGCTCAGAGTCTTTACGAAAAGGCGAAAGAATGGAGCATCCATTGGATTTTGTTGGTACCATGTCGTGAGGCGTATCCTCTGCCTAGCAAGTCGCATGGAACCGAAACATAGCCGATCATCATCACCAATCCCGTTGTTCTGGTGCTGCTTCATTCTGAGAGGTGTGAGTGAGCGAGCACTCAGGGTAGCTAAATACACCTTGCCTGCAAGCATGGATTTGCTCCGCAGCTTGTTGGCCCTTTTTTCGTGAGCAGCCCGCTTCGACTTGGGAGGCAGTCGAAGCACAGCAGGTGCTTGAAACTCGGAATGGGCCAGGCACAAGGACCGCTGTGCGTCCTGGCTAAGCTGCCATCCAGCACACGGACTGGGAAAGTCTGCATGAAACGCGGCGAATGCCAGCTTGCCAGAGAAGGTCCCTCCATTGCCCTCAACCCAAGCACAGCATCTTGAGTCACCATTCGAATCTAGTTTCGTGCGCATGCTCTATATAAAGGGCCTTCGAAAACAGCTACATGGACATGGAGAGGAGTCAAAGTCTAAACGGGCTTGGAGTTGGAACATCTCACTTTGACAGGATGGCCATTTACTTTCGCCAGCCGAATCAAGGACCTTCCGATGGAAAGCGCTCCGGTTCACGCGCACCAACTAACTTTGCCGAGCCATCTCATGATATGCCCTCTAACCACGTGTACAATTCTCACGTACCTGGTACGAGTGCAGCTCACTTTTGAACTTCTGCCGTGCCCGGCCCTGATGCTACAGTTGAACCAAAGCGCCGATTCCGTTATCCACAGGGCCTGGTAGACACCGTGGTCCACTGCAGAGGGTTCTTTGGCTTCTTTAATGGAACCGACGGGGACCACCACACCCAAGTCCATTGGTGTCTAGGACCCGCTGTCTCAGCAAAGGTGGGCTCTTGAGTACGAGTACGGCCAGCTGGACAAAAGACAAAGGATGCTGTACATCGCTGCCCTACCTCCCTGGGAAGAAAGCAACACGACAACTCTACCGCGGCCAACTCAAGAAGCCATGGGGCTTCGAGGCCCTTGAAGGCTGCCACCCTTTCCACCGACCCTTTCGACTCTGACAACTCGAGGCAGCAGCCTGATTCAGAAAGGGCTTCTCATGATGCTTCAGACGAAGAAGGGAAATCGCCGGTTGAGAAACTCACCGGCGCGACAGCTGGGCGAAGTGCAGTTGAAAGTCAGGTCGCTTTGCTTCGCCGAAATCGCAATGGCGTTATGTGCTGCTAGGACAGAAGCTGGGAGATCCAAGAATAAGCTGAGGCACACTGCATAAGGCGCCAGGAGTCGAGGTAGCTTTGCCGTGTGTTGCAGTTTAGCATTTTTACAAGACAGCTAAGAAGACAAACTTCAGCCATGCGCGGCTCCGGCTCGCTGGCGACACAACTTCTTTCCAAGAACTTTAACTGCGTGGGCTTCATCGGTCACACATACTATTCCGACAGCAACCTCACACCGCTTCCCGGCCCTGAACTTTTGCGTTAGTGCTACTCACGTTTGCCTCCATCTTTCGGCGAACCATGTTATGTTGTCTTGCATTAGTAGTTCTCTCTGTAGTTTTGTCGGCCGTGGACCTGGTTGCTGCTGACATGTCCGCATATGCCAAAACAAGGTCGGCATCAGGCTCAGGCTATGAAACGGCTGCACTGCAGCTGCGAACATGAATCTTCGGCTGTGCTGATGACAACCGTGAATTTTGCACCGCCTCGCATATGTCAAAAAGCCAAGGAGCCCGTTCCAACTTCAAACGTACTTGCCACCACCTATAGTTCGGAAACATGTGCCCTGTGCCACCTGTGGACGAAATTGCATTTGCAGCGTGCTTTGCCATACATAGGAATACTGTGC